CGTGGATTCCGGATGATTACCAGGCCCAGAATAGGGATGAGGATGTGAGGAAGATCATGAAGCATTTTCGGCTTGTTGCTTCTTTGGACATCGCATCGTCTCTGGATTTGCTTCCGATGGATCGGATGCGAGCTCTCAAATCCGCGAAGATGGATCGGCGTGTTTGCAGTTTGGTTGCGGATTTTGTGGATATGATGGTGGCCTCCCCAAATCTAATAGGCCTCCTAAAACACTTTACCATTCAAGTTCGAAAAATCATGTAGCTGACAGGAAAGCCTTCGACTACTCCGCTTGATTGGTGCATTTTGTTCTCAAAGCAAAGCAAAGCAAGTGGGTTGGACATTTGCGGCTATTGGTTGGAACCGTGTGCCGATGAGGCGCCCACGCTTCAGAGCATTGACCAGGACTTTGTTGGGGAAGGTTCATGGAGGGGATGAGCGAACGAGTTCTGCGTGGAAATGGTCGGAGCACTGGATCCTGACGTTTAAACAGTGCAGGAAAGAAACCAAGATGTTTGCAGTTTGGACCAAGTTTGCAGATGATTTTGGGGTGTTCATGGAAGATCCTTTCTTGACATGGGGAACCAAAAGCCCTTTTGCATCCCAGAGTATTGGGATGTGCGAGGAACCTCCTTGTCTTCAAGCTATGCCAGGCAGCGCTTTCTTTCTCAACAGACCATGCGAGTACGTCACGTCTCGCATGTGAGGACTACAAAGAGAACCTGGACCGGATCAAGAAAGGGAAGGAGGCACATCGATGCGACAGTCATCACCCAAGGTTCCGTGGTTTTTCTACTTGAGCATCTCTGGCCCTGGCATTCCTTGATCCCCTTCTTGGATCTGGGGCCCTTGGATGCAGCGGGTTGGGGCTGCAAGGTGCGCCCGAACAAGGTCCATCACGCCGCCTGTAATTGCGCTTGCGCGCTTTCGCCTGCACGCGCGCTTGCTGCTGCAACGCCTTCTCAATCAAAGAGTCTGAAAAAGCGGCCCCACTTCAATGTTATATGGTAATGCTCGTAGCTTTTTGCTACTAGTAGCGATGCCCTTGTTACTAGTAGCTTCATTAATTAGAGAACAAGGTCTTTGAGTCTTTCAACAAAGCCATCTTCGACGCTTCTTTTGACCCGTCTCCCCCACCGAAGACGGTGCCGGATTGGGGATGGGGTCACGCGGGAAGGTGACACCCGGTGGCCGGAGTGCTGCTAATTATTCTGTCAGCCCACTAGTATTGCAAGTGTCGTTTTCTGGAATTGGGGGGTAGCAAGCGAAGCACGTGAGGCTTCCGTTTTCGCTGTTGCCTTCGAGGATGTCTTCGTAGACTAGGTGTCGGTCAATATTTGGATATTTGGCTGGTTGAGTCCATGCAGCTTTGATCCGCAGACCTACAGATTGCAGGGGTGTCTCAAAAACGCTAGCCCCAACTGACCCTCATCGTTATCCGCCTATCTCCGTTGACCTAGAGGCGATCGCTGTGACGACGGCCGTGCAGCCGCAGCCCATCGCCTTGATCAAGAAGGCCGGAGAACCGGGTCGCCACGTGTTCCGGTGGCGTCCAAAGCTGTGAAGAATTGGACAGGTGACTCATGTGACATCATGTCAATTGACCAAGGCCTCTCAATCAACACCTGAGTCATTTCTCAACACGTCGTGCCACGTCGTGGGGTTCTCTGTTCGTGGGGAGCACCGCGCCAGGCGGCGCCGAGCACCGAGGGTGCGCGCCAGGCGCAGTCTGTGACGGAGCTGATTGCTGCTGGGGCGGAAGAGAGAGGGCAAGGGATGTTGACTGCAATTACACCAGCGTAGACCCCAAACAGTTTTTCGCATTTATTGTCCGTTGAATTCGTTGATTAAAAACAGACAGAATTCGTTGAATTCGTTGATAACTTTGCGTCATTGTCAAAATACACATATAAGCTCCTTTTTGCATCTCGCGGCCACTTCCCCAATATGGCACACCCATTGTGTGACCCACCCACTGCCTGGCAAACCCAAGTGCTTGGCATACCCTAGGTGGGGGCCACGTGAATGGGAACCCTGTCTGATGCTGGCAACCAGCAGGAGACAGATCAAACCTGATTAAAAAACTCTCGACGTCGACCGGGCACTAGAATTGACATTGCCATAGCAACATCCGTGACAAACATGATTTTTTTGCATGTCGGCACTTTGTTGTGGAAGTGTTGGCTGTATGCAACTCATGCGCCGCAGTGCCGCTGATTGCAGCAAACTCGCTCTCAGCTCCACTCAGCTCCACTGCTTCCTGACACGACTAGTTTTTGCAAACCCCAATCCCGCCGAAGAGGCTCTTGAAGTCTGAGCAAGCATCCAAACTGAGTTTGAGCCAGCAAGTACAATATCAAAAAGTCATAAAATAAATAATCTACAGTACATTCGGCCTAGCAAAATCAGAAGCAAGCGCACAGCGCATACATCAGAATTACTCTGTTGCGCTGCTTTCAGATTTAGAACTGATAGGTTTATCGGCGTGGCTCATTTGTCTCAAGACTCTCGCGTTTGTCTCAAGACTCAAGTTTTCATGGGTACCTGGCATGGCATCTGTCTCAGCCCGTATCACCTCAAACACTTTCAATTCACTGACACGTGCTGGCACTGTGCATACGGAAGAAGTGCTCTTGCAAGCGACTACTCGACTCTCTCTCTCTCTCTCGTCGCTCGGCCTGCAAGTTCGTCGGCAAATAGTGTTCGGCTCACCTGATGACACATGACTTTGAGAGGAATTGCACTCAGAAATCACAAGGAATAAATTCCAGCGATTCTAATTCACATTCCAAGTACAAAACACAAATGCAAATGAAGTACTTGAAGGATGAAGGCACTCACCTTCGTGCTCTCGCCAAGTCTTGCATGCCTGCAGTTTGAGTAGTCCCCATGACCATGCGCAAGCTGCTTGGTAAATTGATGTGTATATAAGTTGATATCGTTTCAACAAAAGTCGAACCAAATCAATGCGAAGGGTTCTTCAAGGAAACTCCCCCGCCATCTTGAAAGAATCCTAACTTTTTCTGGGGTTGTCGGGCGTTACCTCTCCGCAACAGGATCGTCAAAGCGCTTCTTCTCTCTTAAATCGCACGGCGGTTTGAATCGCACAGCCTTACAGCCAAATCTAAGGATCCCCTGCGGGGTCCTGGCAAAATCGCAAATGGCACAGGTTTCTTGCGGCACTTCGCGAATGAAGTCCGCAAATCAATTCAAGGGATGCAGCGCAGTCCTGCTTCGCTGAATTCGTTGAGTTCGTTGAATTTATTGTCTGCCATATACACCCCCGTCCGCCCCTTGGTCAGTTTTGAAAGCCCTCCAAAACGGTCATAAAACGATTGGAACATGGCTTCTGACAACCGTTCCAGGAAGCATGGAGCAGCATCAGCCCCCTCCATGGTTCGTTCCAACCATCCAATTTTATGCGTTGCGCTTTTGGCACGCAACAATCCTGCCGAGTTGGCCATGACTTGACTATCTGGCGCGTGCATTGTGCACATTTTGGACACCCAGCACCATCGTATCAGCCCCGCAACGCAGCTCCACTCACCTCCCAACAGGCTTCCGCGAAGCATGGAGCAGCACTACCCCCACCCATGCTTCGTTCTACTTGTGCACCCATCTTCCCTCCCCAGCCCCGTCCCATGCGCCATCTTCTCTGCCAGCCCCCCGTCTTGCTCCCCTCCATCTTCCCTCCCCAGCCCCGTCCCCGCCCATGCACCTCCCGTCTCGCTCCCCTCCATCTTCCGTCCCCAGCCCCGTGCGCCTCCCGTCTCGCTCCCCTCCATCTTCCCTCCCCAGCCCTGTCCCCACCCATGCACTTCCCGTCTCGCTCCCCTCCATCTTCCCTCCCCGGCCCCGTCCTCCTCCACATCCATCTTCCGTCGCCGACAACGCACGCTTTGTCTCGCTCTTCCGCGGCACTAGCGACTAAACGAGAACCCAAGCGTCGAAGATGCTTTTGGGAAAAGCATAAAAAGAAGATTGAGGCCAGCTCCTGGTCTGGATTCTGGGTCCATTGTCTGGCGCTCTTCTGGATAATGTTTTTACGTAGAAATTGGCGAGCATTTCAGCTCTATATCCTTGAACGCTGTGCGGCCACGCCATGCTTGAGCCATGTATTCACACCTCAAAAACATTTGCGCGCCCCCTTGCCAAAACCAAACACAGGTTTTGCACAGGGGCGCGTTCCCCAAGAGTTTCCTGCATTTTCCTCGACGTCTCAAAATGGCACTGCGCCCTCATTTTGATCACCTTGTCCATGTATTCTTCGAAGATTCCGCCTCTGGATCCATGGTAAACCTTGTCTAGTTTTTGCTTTTTTCTCTGTCCACGCGCAACGCTGGTGTACAGGGTGAGAAGGTGAAACGGAGGTGAGGAGCCTGAAGCTCTACCCACCTGTTCTGCTAATTTGAAAACTTTGGGGCAAGTGTGTTGCAAGGTAGCCAGCGCTGGTCATATCCCCAGGTTCAGGTCGACTAGACTCGCACTTTTTTCGTTTCCGGAAGAGACGCTCTTGAAAGACACTCTGGTAAGACATAGAAGACACTCTCTCTTTGAGGACACTCTGATTTACAAGACATTATGAGGAAACTTTTGAGACTCTTTTGATACTCTTAGAAGAAGCCATTCTCCTTGACACTCTTGACCGACACGGGTGTCTCACACTCTTGGAAGAACGCCAACCCCCCAAAATGGGCAGGTGCGCAGCGAAATCACCTGTGACACTCCCTCACACTTCAAAACGTCACGTTTCTACGGTATTTCACACGAATCTGACAGTTTTGGTACGTTACAACGAAACGTTGGAAGCATTCTCCCCAAGAGCAAGGCCTTTGAGCGCTACTTTTTCACCGCTCTGGCGCTCTCGAAGTCAAAAGTCTGGCACCTTCATGGCATGGATGTTTCTCCTTTGTCCGTGCGAATACCACAAGCACGTTTGCGAACGTTCAAAAGGCACATAGCTGAAGCTTGTGAGAAAGGAGTTTTTTTAAGAAACCTCAATCAGCCTCCAGCTTGCCACCCCAAATGTTCAGCCGCCTCCCGGGCTGCTTCGCGTGTCTCGTCAGCTTTGGATCCAAACAAGGTTGCGAAGGTTTCCAAGAGTTCTTCAGGAGGTCCGCTTTCGATGATGTTTCGGATTTTGTCGTTGAGCCCCAGCGTCAACAAGTTCTTGAAGGAGCGAGGGCGTGAAAGCATCACGTAGACAGCCAAGAATTTGATGTCTGCCGGTGATCTGGCAGGCAAAGTCATGTGCGCCACTAATCCGGGGGACGCTGTCGTTCCTTGCATCGTGTAAAGGCTGCAGGCCTTCTCTGGCCAGAGTGGGAATGCCGTCCGCTTGATCTTCAATGAAATTTTCCCGTCTGGCAAGGTGTAAGACCACGTTTGCGTTTTTGAAAGCACTTGAATGACTCCAGGATATGACACACACTGGTCGCAGTGTCGGTTGAAAATCAAATGCTCCCCGCAAGGTTTGGGCGGCAAGAATTCCAAATCCACTCCTTCGAGTTTTACATAAACTGCGGTTGGGCATTTTTTTAAATAGTATTCTGGGGGTAATTTTGCTGGGAGGCGCTCAGCAAAAGCAATGTCGACAATTGTTGCAACGGTATCCTGAACAGCCCAGGGGGGTAAAACCGATGTAGTCAGCCGTACTTTTTGCCCAAAGTGCAATAAGTTTACGCCTGGCAGTTTTTTTGTGGTGGACAGGTTCGAAACACCAAGCAAATGCTTGAGATGATGGGGCTCACAGGCTTGGTCAGGCCAATCTGCTGCAGGAACGAAAAATAGAGTTTGATTGGCTTCGCGGGCCGAGTGCCGTGCTTTAATAAAGGCAATCAAGGTAGTGATAGACCACAGGTAACAACTCTCATACCAGTCGCCGGTGGCTTGCACCAAAGCTTCTGGGGACTGGAAAGCAGCTTTGTCTTCTAGCCTAGTCTCCGACAAGTGGCTCCACTCTTGATCTGTCAGGCGCTCACCGCCGGGCACCCGCATTTTGCGCAAAATGTTTTTTTGGATTTCGTCCTCAAATCTCATTGCTGTTTGAAGGACAAAGACTTGTGGGATTCGCGCGAACATAGCCAAAGCAGCTTTGTGTTCATGTCCTCCAACATCTGGCGTCGCAAGTAACGAAGAAGTTTTTGGGACAGGTGGAAGTTGTAAATGATCGCCTGAGAGAAGCATGAACGAGACACGGCCAAAGAGCTGTGTCGGCTGCGCGTACCGTGCCAAATCTAATTGGAATTGATCAGCTCGGATCGATGTGGCCCGCAAGGAAGCAGCGTGAAATAAAGTTGTTGGAACCTGTGACCACTCGTCTATGATCACAGCCCCCGCCCGCCCCAGGGTGTTTTGAAGTTTTTTTCTGTCTGCATGCCGTCGGACACACAAGTGGTAAGACTTTAAGCTATCGTTGGCACGGACACCAATTAGGTTATGTATTGTCTTACCGCCGATAATTCTGGCAGCCTTGTTGGAGGGAGCCGCGAGCTGCACATTGTGAGCCCCAAAATAAACATTCAGCAACGGTTCTAAGACCTGGACAATTACAGTGGTTTTTCCACAGCCCCCGCCGCCGACAAGGAGAACACGAACCAGACCTAGGTCGACCGGCAAGGTGTACACAGATGTATCTTCTCGGTTTCGCCACGCAACTTCAAGTGGATTCACTAGAAGGGCCAACAAGTCCAGCTGCTCCTGGTTGAAAGGAAACTTATCAATGAGAGATTTGGCATACGCTGCAGGACCTTTCCACGCTAAAGGAACGTCAATTTCTGTGACTTGTGCCTCGTCGCGGTTGGCGTTCCTGTCAAAAAGCTCTTCCAGCTGTTGCGCAGCCATTTCAGGCGTAAGGTTCTCCGATGCTGGGCAACTTGTCGTGGCATCGGACTGAAGCATTTCTTTGCGGAGAAGTTTTGCTACAGCTGCCTGGTGCGATTTCGCGTTTTGTGGCAGGCAGTGCGTTGGTAAAATGGGTATTCTGGGTCGAAGTTCGCTGCTATCAGCAGGAGGTCCTACCATCATATGTTTGTAGATATCTGCAAATTGTTTGATGTGAAGATCTCCTTCTCTGTGCTTCCCAGGTTTTTTTGTTCGTTCAAGTTCCTGCTCACGTGAAAGAATTTGTATGCAGTCACTCAAGGTGAAAGACACTTTGGTTTGCGAATGCAACTCCTCATCGAAGCTATCTTCGTCATCTGGTGGGGCCTCTCCGTCGAACGCTGGATTTTGCCCTTGGTCAGGAGAATGCTGGCCGTCACTTTCAGACACTTGCTCGTGCACCGGACCACTTTTTGTGCGCGCGCTTCGTAGAGGCTTGGTTTGTGCGATTTGCTGTGACAGAAAGTTCTGGTAGTTTTGCTGGCTTTCGATTGCGGCAAACTCTTCCAGCGTCAGTTGATGCACATGTGCTCCAGATTGCACTCCCAAAATGTCGCACATGTTTTGGAACACGTAGCCCGGGAATTCCGAAAAAGAAGTGCGGAAAAGTTGCATCAAAGTTGCGCGCAACAACTGGGCATGCCTGTCATCCGCTCCTCCAGGGAGGCTTGCGTTCCACCAGCTTTTGGCAACAGTGGTGTCGAAAAGTACGGCGATTTTCTCGGCGGATGCTATTTTTGTTGGGCTCGATTTGCTACCAAGTTTATCGCAGCTCTTCTAGCCTTCCAGTTTGCAACGAAGGAAAATTTTTGTTTGCCGATTTTTACGCATGTGAGAGCAGGGCGGCAGTTTAGGGGGTCTGTGCAGCAGGTAAGGCCCTGGCACTTCATAGGCAAAAACAACATCGAAAAATATGCGGCATTAGCTTCTGCATCATCCAACGATGGCGGCTTCGGGCCGACAATTCGGGGTACGGTGATCTGCAAAGCAAAACATTGGCAATACAACGCGTGCATTTGGTAGTGCGGGTCAAATTCAAACATGATTTCATGATCTTTGGGCTTCAGAGGTTTGCGAACACGACGTACTCGAGAAGCATAGACAAACAGGGGCATTGGAGCCAGCCATGGCCCTCGGTGAAGATAGTCGTCATGCAATGTTGTGGTGGTGCGTAATACAGTTTTGTCCCAATGTTGGTTGCGGTCTTTTTCCGCGTCCTGCTGTTCTTCATCCTCGACAGCCGTTTCTTCAGGATCTTCTTTTGCAGAGTCCTCAGCCAAGCTAGCTCCGTCTTCAGAGTCTGAAGCATTCAATTCAACTGCAGCAATGGGGACGAAGTTGTCGTGCAGAAGAGGGCTCGGTGTATTTTCTAAGAGACGCCGGCATTGTTGCATCAAAAACCAAGGTCTTGAAAGAAAGAGGACAACTTCAGCATGAGTAGCCCAGCAGTGAGCTGCGCACAGAATGGTGGTCGCCAACTCTGTCGAAGATACCCAGGTGCTGCGGTTCGCAGCCGCCGCAAGCCTGACAATCACCCGCTTGGCACGGTATTGGGGTGTCCAAACCTCAGCTTTGCTTTCTTCCTCCTCCAATCTTCTGATGCCAACAGCAAATTGAGCCACTGCCGACTGCATTGCCTCCATGGGTTTTGTGCTGTATTTTGTGATGTAGTGGTCAGTATTGAAAGATGCGACGTGCAAAGCAATGACATTACGAGCAAACAAGCGCAGCTCACGCGAATCATGTTTGTGCATGCTAGCGCGGCTCATGCCCATGACATGCCCAAGGCAGCTATCATCACAAACAAGTGTTATCTTATTGTCATCTTCATCAACTACAAACCCTCGGATTAGAAATTTGAAGTCGCAATTGCAGCGGCAGGAAACCATTGTCACGTCTGAGGTTGCGGAACGAAATGGATGAGCCCGTTGCACTTGAACTAAGCCACTTTCGTTAGGATCCACAGAATCCAGTATATTCGTCTCTGACACTGGCATTTTCCCGCGACGGCGGAATGTTCTTCCAGAAATTTTAACTGTGTGATAAAACGAAAACCGACAGTCGGGCGCACGGCTGGGCTTCAAGAGCTGCCTTTTTTCTTGCGCTGTTTTTTTGACGTGTTTCAGGCATGTTACACTGCACTCATGGTTGTGCGTGGCAATGTGCAAGAAACGAAAATCTTCAGCAAAGCGTTGCTCCCACCTATGGGCCTCTGCAAGAAAAGTGTCAAAGTTACAGGCATCTTCACCATCAGGGCAAGCAACCTTGGTAATGACGCCAGACTCATCACAATCTACGGAAAATGAAAGTGGGCCCTTCCAGGCTGCAGCCTGTGGAATTATACAAGGCAACTTGTATTCTGGCAGCGTGCTCAATTCGGCACCTGTCAATGACACCTCTTTGAAGAAATTTGCTGGTGGGCGTTGCTGCTGCTCGCTTGCAGCGATTTCGCGCTCCACGTGCTTCAAGCGTTCTGCCGCCACAACAGGCAACAACAATCTTTGAGTGATCTCATCAGCTTCTAGTCCGCCATCAAATTTTGTTTGTTTTTGCTGAAGAGCACTGAATGGTTCTGGCTTCATTTTGATGCCAGCTTGTTCACCCACCAAGGTCGACTTCTCGTACTGCAATGTGTTGACTTGGGAGATCAGCTTTGCATTGTGCTGCAGCATTTTGGCACGCAAACTTTTCGGGGACAAGTCACCATCTTGAATTTGCATGCTTGCAAGAAACCCAGGAATTGCGCGGACCAAACGGTGTCCATGCTGAAACCCTCGCCCTTGGGCTTCAAGAGCTTCAAGGATCGCCAACGCAAATCCAGCAACGCCAGGAACACTGCTAGAAGCAAAGTCGTCTTCGATACTCGATTGGCCTACGGCTCTGGCTAGTTTGTAGATGCCCAGACCAATGGAATCAACGCCATATATATGTCTAAAATTTAGCTCTTCCATGAGCAAGAAAAACTTTGCAGTACAAGCTGGATGAGCCGCAGTCAGTTCGTGCATTTTTTGGAGAGGCGGCATCTCGGGCGTGTCTTTCAAAAACTCAGGGCCAAGATTTTCACAAAGTTGACGCATCAGTGGGTTGTAGGTGTCACCATAATTATGTGTGCAAAACACAGTGGTTGGTCCGAAACAATGAGTCAGCGATTGCCCAAAATGCCTTAGCCGTACTTTGTACCCCTCTGTCAAAGGCACGGTGGCGGTTGAAAACAACATATGCCGCAGAGCTGCTCGAACTTTTGGAGGCGTTGCTGCATTTTGTATTATTTGTCCGACGCTATTGCCGCACATCTCTCCTGCAGCTGCGGCCAGAAAATCGGTTGTTTGCGAAGAAGCAATTGTCTTCAAGTCCTTCTCGAAGCCTTGCCTCTGAAACGACGCGTTTACTGCTTGCAGTGTTTTCATTTTCCGAAGAATGTCTCCAAAAAGGGCAGCAAATTCTGGTGAATCAAAACGAGAAACTGCACGGGCTTGGTACGGCTCAACATCATCAGAACAAGAATACTCCATCTCTTCGCGCTGCATCAGTGCAGAAAACAAGCTTTGGTATGTCACTGTGGAATTTGGGCGTCCCGAGAGGCCAGGCACTGCGTCTCCATAGTAAAACTCGACAAAGCAGCTTGGAAAGCTTCTGGGGTCAAAGGAGCTCAAGACTGTCATCGTTGGCACTGCCAAAGCGTCGATGTGTATTTGACCACCCTTTTCGAAAAAATCAGCAGTCACCGAGGTCTGGAGCAAACTTGCTGCCACGTCGTCCAAATTTTTGGCTTCTTTCAATAGTTTCCTCATCGTGTCTTGTAAATCGATCACAAGGCGTTGACAAGTTTCTTGCTGACCTACTTGTCGCACAGTGGCTGAAACGTTTTCCCAAGCACCACTTTGGTTGGTCTTAACTTTTGCAACTTCTTTTTGAAGATGTTCCAATTTTTTTTGCATCGCTTGAAAAAGTTGCGCCGGTTTCGGGTCTTGCTCGTAATCAATGGCAATCATAAATTCAGGGCTTTTTTGAGATTCATGAGTGGCACGCTCATGGCCTTCATCTGCGCAGGCCTGCGCATCGTCATGGACAGATTCATCATCAGCTTGCGCAACCTCGTGGTCATCATCAGACTCTTCAGCAATGTTGCCATCGGTATTGGACGGAGGCGCTGTCACGGGCAGGTCGCCCGGCCCTTGCATACGCGGCAAAAATGTTGATTCCGGAAGATGTATGGCATGTTCGATAAATTCGTTTGGAACCCCTTCGACTGGCAGCTTCTGAACGGCATCTTGATCAATATCGGTGTCAAAAAACACAGGGCAATGTTTCTTTCTCAAGCGCAAGCAGTCCACAAACTCTGCGCGGTTGACGGTTAATGCCTTACAGGTTTTGACTTCCTCGACACTTCTTGTGAAAACAATCACCAATTGATCCAAGACTTTGTTCAAAGATGGTAAGATCTGTGTAGTCTTTGCTTCGGCCTGCGCTAGAAGAATGGTGTTGCCCACCAAGCCTTTATAGGACTCCTTGGCCGTCGAAGGCCCTAAGAAAATCTGCCGCGTGACGGGACGGCCTTTGCCGAGGAGCAATTTGGTACCCAAAGTAAGTTTTTGGTAAAGGGGTTGCTCACGCCCTAACCAATTCATGTTAGACAAAGCCAACGGTGCCATTGTTGGGCCAGAAACTTGACAAAAATGTTCCAGGCATGTTTTGCAGGCAAAACAAGTTTCGTCCTTTTTGCCAACGCCTGCACACATCACGTTTCCCGCCGCTTGGCAAGGAATTTTTGGAACCCTTCTGCAATGGAGAAGCCAATGCATATTTGCGTGATCCGGATGTCGAACTGCTGAAGCGTAGAGTTCTTGCAAGGGTATGTGCGGTTGTACCTTTGAGTATGCTTCCACTGCAAGTAGTGCATTCACTTTTTCTGCCGGCCCAACACAAAACTTGCCGTCAGCAGTAAACAGCAACAACCCTTGATCGCGCGCGTTCGTTTCTTTCTGCTGGTTGTAAAAATGCTGCTTCCATGACATGGAGCCTGTGGGTTCTTGAAACAAAAAGACTTCGAATCTATTTTCGGGATAGTCACGAACACAGCAAAACACACAAGCATGCAAAGATCGTGGCTGAGCATGGTCAAATGTACCTGCCAACCATTCATTATGATGTCCTGGCGTGGCATATCTTTGAAAGAATGCAAAATTTTGAATCAGACTTCTTTTGACCCAAGGTTGCATTGGTTGAAAGTTTGCTTGCTGTGCCTTAAAAAAGACCTTTTTGCGGTACTCAGCAAAGTTAGCATGTTTGTCGTCACAATGCTTGCAGAGCGCATCCATGCTAACAAGTGACGCGTGGCACAACTGGCATGTCACAGGCGCTGGGGCAAAGGCAGCTGAAGGCGTGGTCGAATCAGGCTGTAAGTCTGTGATGTGCGCTGGTAAGGCGTGCGCTGCCAACTTGTCTTTGCAAAAAATGGCATCTCCCGGTATGTATGTCCTTCGTTTTTGGAAAAAAGGCGTCCGCGCAGATATTTTGTTCATGCGAGAGAGGCCGGCCACGATTTTCGAATGATACACACAAATGCTGCAAAGTAGCAGGGTGTCGATGTTTTCCGGCTGCAAAGAATGCTCGTGTAAAAATTCAAACGCTGCGGTAACCAAAGTCGAAATGCGATTTTCCACGCTGTCTTCTGGGCCAACATGTGGAAATAGAAAGCGCCTATTTGCATGGAGATTGAAAGTGGAATGCGAATATGCAAGCAAATTGTTTGTAACTACCTGCTTTGCCGCTGTAACACTTTCACTTTTATTTAGGTGAGCTCGGCCCATGCGGTTCTGTATGACCAAGTTGAAGACTTCGGACAAATTCAACGGCAAATCGCAATAGTGAAGATCCTGGAGCTCAATTAAAGCCAAATGCCGAAAAAACTGCGAAGCTGAGGGACGCAAAAATGGACATGCACTTGGCCAGCATCCGAACAAACATTCTGGCCGCTCTTCTCTCAAAAGTTTTCCTAGGTCTGCCAGGTTGGTCGGAATCAAAGAACCATACAGAGCTTGGTTTTGAGCACACGGTGCTTCCATGAGAAAAGCACTAAGTTCGAAGTGCAAAAACTCTGTCGCCAATCTTGTTCGCGCACTGTTAAGGGTGGAAATACGGTTGCTCAAATGAGCATCTTTCCACCAAGCTTTGTCCTGTTGCATTTTTTGGGGCAACCCGCGCTTGGTACAAGAGTTGGCAGCAATAAAACAACGTTTGCGCAGTTGAGCTTCAGCAGGGTCATTTGAAGAAAGGCATCGGAACTTTGCAAAAAGACTTGCTTGCCACCAATATTTGTTGCGTTGTTGGTTCTGATAGACGCCGCCGCTTGGAAACACGCCTGGGTTAGGAGGATCGGTCTCCACTGGATCAACAACTTGTTCGTGCGGCGGCTTCATTGCTTTGAGTTGTTCCAACACGTTTTGTTGTGACATCGCGGCGCCTGCTGCCCTTTGTTTTTTCGAAGGTGGCTTCATAGCTTCGCAAGATGTGCGCTTTTTGTTTGCCATCGTTTTTGCTTCTGCGGTGCAAGCTGGCTCAGAAACAGCAGGCGCTCTAACGTGTGCGCCAGATCTCCCCGTAGAAGGTTCTCCAAACGAACTGCCCGAAGCATTGTGTTGCCCCACCGGCTGTGTCGCGCTTTCGAAGATCCGTTGCAGATTTTCCTTTTGCTTTCCAGAAGGCATGTTCTGCAAAAGGAAAGACCATTGTTGCGAAGTATCTAAACCTGCAATCCAGCTGTAATGCTTGTCATTCATTCCTTCTGTCATTGTGTTTTCGACCACACCCAGTGTTAAAAGTGCTTCCACGACAGCATTCGGCACCATGATTTTGTGATCAAAAACATTGCCCGGCCGCACTAGAAAGGAAAAACCTTGAGTCAAGCCTGGCTTGGGGTTCCTTTCTTCGACATTTGCTAGTTCGTTTCTTACCGTGGGCGAGGTTGTCAAACAGGCGGTATTTACCATGTTCACAAATGTGTTCAAACACGCTTCTTTGCAGTCTGAAACATTGGTTCGTGGTAGCGCCCATTTGGTCGCAAGTTTTCGCCAGCTGTTCACATCGCCTCTTTCCGCCTTTTTGGTAAACAAGTAACAAAACTCCTCCAAGTTTTTCTGTTGAGGATGCGTTTGGAAATGTGCTTGGTTCTGGTTCATCAATGTCTGCGCTGCTGCAAAGCGGTCTTGCTCAATCATGCTTTGACTTGCAGGCTGCAGCTGGCGGTGATCTTCCGTCAGGACAGGCTGCTCAGCAGCAACGTTGTGTTCCCTATGAGTTACTACGTTTGCGGAAGTCAATTTAGCCATGTGTTCACGGACGAATCGCAAAAACCTCTGCAAACACTGTTCTTTCATTTCGTCCAACTTCTGCCTAGGAAGCGCCCACGCGGTGGCAAGCTTTTTCCACATATCTGCATCCCCCCTTGTGGGACTCTTACTGCGAAGGCGGCAAAATGTCTGCATGTTTTGCCACTGCGTATGTGATTCGAAATGCAATCTGTGCGCGCTCAACGCCCTTTCCGCTTCTTCAAAAGTGAGAATGTCGGCGACACCGCCGCGCAGAGGATTAACCACCACTCGGAACATTGAATGTTTAGGCATGTTGGACACAAGCGTTTGCATGGACATGCAAGTTCCATCGACTAAGAGCTGGCTTTGGTCTAGTAAAAATACTGGAATGCGTGTAGATAACACCGCATAGACCGTGGTGGCTGGGTCTGGGGCAGTGATAATGTGAAGTTTGTTGTGGAAAGGATGCGCAACCCATAGCTTAGAGGACATACCGTTTTTTTCACCTTTTGGTGGCTCATGTGCTGGTGGTGCAGGATGCGATAATACACCCTCCAGAGGTACACGCTCACAAACTGAAGAGTTGACCCTGATGTCATCAAGATGCAAAAGAACTGGGTACAGCCAAGCCACCATCACCAAAGAAAATTTGCATTGCCAGAGGCACGTTTCCCGCACTTGCAAAATCAACCGTAACATTCTCAGAGCTTGGTTCACAGGCCTTGGGAAACCAAACTGGCGGTGGCTACAAAGCACAAAAGGAATCCAAGGCGTGACAAATGCCCAAACCCAGAACACGATTGGATATGTAATGACTGCACTGGAGCAACAAATGTGAACCGGCCACTCTCTCAAGCAAAGGGCAGCAAGCAAAGCTTTCCTTTTTGAGAAAACATGCTCAATACCCACAAGCTCGTAAGCATCATGCGGCCCCGTTATTTCTTGATGGTCAAAAACAGGCTTGTGAAGTGAGTTGAAAACATGGGTGCCAATGGCTTTCAAAATCATCGGCAGCAAAAATTCTATTATGTTCAGCTTTCTGGTTTTCAATGTGCATCTGCACTTCCATCCTGTCAGTTTTACTTGCAACTGTTCATCCTCAACAGCAATTTGTCGACAAATTGGCTTTTGCAGCCAGTGTCCACAGTGTTGAGATTTGGAACGATACCTCCTTTTCCCGATTTTGTTCGCCTTTCGAATTGTGATGTTACATCGAATGCAACACCAAGAAGCAGCGGACAACCCAATGAGGAAAAAACAAATCAATATATGCCAAATGCCCATGGCCCACTTTGACGGCCGCCCTCAGATAACATATATTCCTGATGCTGACACAGTTGTTTGTAAACCAGTGCTCCTGTATTTCAGCACAAGCTGTTTGTTTTGAATCAACGAGGGAACCGAAGCCCTACAGGGACCGTGTTTCAGATAATCATGTGTGGCATGACTTGGTGACAGTAACTTGCAGGTAGGTCCATGTTTGACATCCAATGAGCTGAGAACAGGTTAGACTCCTCTGAGCAGAACGGCAGAGACGCGACCAATTTTCAATGCGCAGGCGCTAAAACAGCAAAATAACTTGCTGATAATCCACGTCTGGGGGCGAAGGCACACGTGAACTAACGACTGGTTTTGGTTATTGGTCCGCTTTCAAAGCCTTGAAACAGGAAAACCTCACATCAGGGAGTCGCGCCGCCGCTAAGCACAAGCGAAGAAAATCTTACCAGGTTTAATGCGCAGGCGCAAAACAAGCCAAATCCACCGACCCCACTCGTGGGGTCAGGCGCGACTGTTGATTAAGGCCAAGGCGATGATTAAGGCTAAGGTTATGATTAAGGCTATACCTCCCCTACCCCTCCGGAGCCTTGTTGGAGTGACGAAAAATAGCCAAGAATTGTCCAAGATTTCTCCAAATGTATTGGTTTGCTTCTTACTGGGGATTGGGGCACCCTCTCCACCCGCGCGGGAAAATAAGCACGGTCCCTAAATGGTGCGGGCTCGAATCCCGGGCTGGTCGCGGCCCTTGGTTTTCCTAGATGTTGTAACGTTTTCCGCTGGATTTCGAGGATTTTCAAAGGTTTTTGTAACATTTACTCATGCCTTTCATGCCTTTTTCGAGGGTTTTCCAGGATTTTCTCTGGTTTGGCTCCGTGTTGTTTTTGGGTTCCCAGATTTTCAAAAAATGCTAACCCATTTGTCGTGCTCTCTTCTGCATACTTTGGTGATGCAGTGACAGATCATGTCTCTAGGGGTTCCGTGTTGTTTTTTGAGTTCCCCGATTTTTCGAAAAAGCTTGTAACCCATTTGGCTGCCTGTGGTCTGGCCCCTGGGGGTCGGCGGCT